GCTTTAGAGGCACCGAAAATGGCCGCCCCTATGGAGGATTTTCGCTTTAAGGTGAGTTTTCAAGCCCATAGGAATGCATTAATCGGGTTTTAATGCATTTCTATGGGCTTTTTAATTTCTCTTAGCGATGAAATCACTTAGCGAGGGTTTTTCCGGAATGGATTAACCTCGTTAAGTGAGGCACCCCTGTAAAAACACACACACCTGCTTATGATAAATTTTCTCAATACTTTGGAGACCCTGGAGGTATACATGAGTATCTACTGTACATCTGTGATTTTAAAACATACATTAAGAAACTGCTTGACAAGAACCTCTGAACTTAAATAATGTTGGTGTAAGTGGAACCCACAGAAATACAGTGGTGCCTCGCTTATTGATCGCTCCATTGAGCAACGAAATTGCTTAGCGACTAACTTTTTGCAATCATGGCAAAGCGACCCTTTTTAAACAGCTGATCAGCGGTTTCAAAATGGCCACCGGGAAAACAAAATGGCTGCTCGCTGTTTTTCCTCGCTTAAGAGGCAGCGAAAATGGCGGCACTATGGAGGATTTTCGCTTTAAGGTGAGTTTTTAAGCCCATAGGAACGCATTAATCGCGTTTTAATGCGTTTCTATGGGCTTTTTAATTTCGCTTAGCGATGTTATCGCTTAGCAACGTTTTTCCGGGACGGACTAACGTCGCTAAGCGAGGCACCACTGTATGGTAAAAAGCTGTTAAGAAACAAGAAAGCAAGGTAACTAGTATTAATTTATTCTACTGAATGGTTTAGATATGAAATGTTGCAATTTAAAGCTTAACCCCACCACAAAAAAGGAAAGTGTGTGTGTGTGTGTGTGTGTGTGTGTGTATGTTTGTATGTTTGTATGTTTGTATGCGTGTGAATATATATATATATATTTGTATATATATATTTGTGTGTATATACAGTGGTGCCTCGTATAACGAGTGCACCGTTTAACGACGAATCCGCATACCGATGTGGATCTTGCGATCATTTCCCCCCAGCTGGGCGGTGCTTGCCTCCGAGCGCCAGTGGTGGACACTTCCCTGGAGGTTACTCTGAAGGCAGCACCGCCCATCTGGGCGGTGCTGCCTTCAAAGCAACCTCCAGGGAAGCGTCCACCGCCGGCGCTTGGTAGGGCTTGCCTCTGAGCCCCGGGGTGGACGCTGAGGTTGCTCTGAAGGCAACGCCGCCCATCTGGGCGGTGCTGCCTTCAAAGCAACCTCCAGGGAAAGCGTCCACCGCCGGTGCTCAGAGGCAAGCCCCGCAGCTAGGCGGGGCTTGCTTCTGAGCGCCGCTGGTGGAGGCTGAGGGTGCTCTGAAGGCAGCGCCGC